TTCGAAGTGAAGCTATAAACCTGCATCCACAGAAAAATTGTCAGTTTTAAACATACTGATCTGTGTCGATCCCTTCGATTGTTTGCTCCTTGTCTTGACGTCCTCGGTTGATTTCCCGATTTCCCGACTCTTGATAGATAAGAAAATATCTTATGCCAAAACAGATGAAATATAAAAGGGAAATTTTTAAGGGAAGCAAGAAATTTTTTAAGAAATAGTATCTCGAAAAAGTCAATGCCAAGTCATGTCATGTCAGGCTTAACGAGCTTCTTTGAGTCCGACGCTTGTCGAATGAATTTCAGAGGCATTCCGGACTTGTGGGGAAGTCCCATGACGAAATTTTGAGGCCATCGTCAAAATTTCTGTCCCAATTTAGTATCTTGCTCCTCTTTCCATTGTAACCGAACAAATCTCGGAATTTTTGAGATCTTCTCAAAAATTCTGTCCCAGTCGCAAACTCGAAATGTCTTTAGTTTGATCCGCTGAGAAGAAGGTTCCCTTTGGAGAATTTTTGAGTCCCTCTCAAAAATTCTGTCCCAGTTTCTATTGTAGAAGGGGGAAATAGAAATCTTACGAGAGATATGACCGAGTCCTTGTGGCGCCTACGTATCTCATTCTTGAGAATTCAGGTCGAACGTAGTTTAGGTCGTAGAATTTTGGTCTTCTGTTTTGACTTGTTAAAGAAGTCCAACTTCAAATGAATTTTTGAGATCCTCTCAAAAATTCTGTCCCAGTTTCCATTATGGAGAGAAATGGAAATCTTCTGGGTATATGACCGAGCCGTTGTGGCGCCTACGTATCCCATTGAATCAGGAATCAGGTCAAACGTAGTTCCCTTTAAAGGTTAACAAGAATAAAATTTACAAAGAAACCGACCGAAGCCGACAAAGGCCGCCTACGTATCTCATTCTTGAGAATTCAGGTCGAACGTAGTTCAGGTCGTAGAATTTGGTCTTCTGTTTTGACTTGTTAAAGAAGTCCAACTTCAAATGAATTTTTGAGATCCTCTCAAAAATTCTGTCCTAGTTTCCATTATGGAGAGAAATGGAAATCTTCTGGGTATATGACCGAGCCGTTGTGGCGCCTACATATCCCGTTGAGGCAGGAATCAGGTCAAACGTAGTTCCAACACAAGGAATAATCAAGGGGAATAAATGGGGTGACCGAAGCCGACATAGGCCGCCTACGTATCTCGTTCTCGAGAATTCAGGTCAGACGTAGTTCGTTACAAGAGGGATAAGAATTCAAATTCGAACAAATACAAGCAAACAGAAGATTACAAGTAAATGATGGGAAATGCAAAACGAACTTCACGCGTAATATCTCTTGACAGCATCTGAGTTGATAGATTTGGGCCACACAGCGCCATCCATCTCTGACAAGACTAAAGCACCTCCAGATAGTACTTTGCGGACCATGTAAGGACCTTGCCAGTTTGGTGCGAACTTTCCTTTGTACTCGTCTTGATGAGGAAAAATACGCTTAAGAACCAACTGACCAGCTTCAAAATTTCTGGCTCTTACTCTTTTGTGAAAAGCGTGAGTCATTCTTTGTCTATACAACTGGCCATGACAAACAGCAACCATCCTCTTTTCATCAATCAAGGCTAGTTGATCAATCCGTTTGCTAACCCACTCAGCATTACTTAGCTCAGCTTCTTGGATGATCCTCAGTGACGGTATCTCGACTTCAACAGGTACGACTGCTTCTGTTCCGTATACTAGCAAGTATGGAGTAGCCCCAGTTGATGTTCTGACCGTCGTTCGATAACCCAGTAGAGCATATGGCAACATTTCATGCCAACCCCGCTGCTTGTCAATCATTTTCCTCAGAATCTTCTTGATGTTCTTGTTGGCGGCCTCTACAGCTCCGTTCATTTGAGGGCGATAAGCAGTTGACCTTCGGTGAATAATCTTAAATTGTTCACATATCTCTTTCATCAGATGACTGTTGAGATTTGCACCGTTATCAGTGATGATGGATTCTGGAACTCCAAATCGGCAGATCAGATTGTTGCGGACAAAGTCGGCCACCACTTTCTTGGTTACCGATTTGTAAGAGGCTGCTTCCACCCATTTGGTGAAATAATCGATGGCAACCAAAATAAATCTGTGTCCATTGGAAGCGGCCGGTTCTATAGGGCCGATGACATCCATTCCCCAGGCTACAAATGGCCAAGGTGAGCTCATAGCATTGAGTTCGTGAGGTGGCACCCTTATCAGATCACCGTGCACTTGACATTTGTGGCATTTTTGCACGAATTTGCAACAGTCATGCTCCATAGTCATCCAGAAATAACCGGCTCGAAGGACTTTTCTTGCCAAGGTAAGCCCGTTCATATGTGTGCCGCAGACTCCAGCATGTATCTGTTCAATAAGCCTCACGGCTTCAGCAGCATCCACGCATCTTAAAAGACCCAAATCTGGAGTCCTCCTGTAAAGGACTTCTCCATTCAAAAAGAAATTGAGAGCCATACGACGTATCGACTTCTTTTGATTAGATGTGGCGTCTTCTGGATATGTCCCAGACTCCAAGTACCTCTTTATGTCGAAATACCAAGGCAAACCATCTGGTTCTGATTCCACGTGTGAACAATGGACTGGATGCTCCTTCAAATCTATATCCAGCGGGTCGATGTAATCAATATCCGGATGTTTGATCATTGAAGCGATGGTGGCAAGAGCATCAGCTAATTCATTCTGTATTCGGGGAGTATGTTTGAACTCGATCTTGCGAAACCTTTTACACAGGTTTTGCACATATTGTACATAAGGTACAATCTTTGGGTTCTTCACAGCCCATTCTCCTTGAACTTGATGGATCAAAAGGTCTGAATCTCCAATAACCAGTAACTCGTAAACATTCATGTCAATGGCCATTTTCAAACCGAGAATGCAAGCTTCATACTCAGCCATGTTGTTTGTGCAGTTGAACCGTAGCTTAGCCGCCATAGGATAGTGCTGACCAGATTCTGATACCAAGACTGCTCCAACACCTTTACCCTGGTGATTCACCGCTCCATCGAAGAATAATCTCCAACCTGGATAAACTTCAGAGATATCTTCACCCACAAATGACACTTCTTCATCGTGAAAATATGTCTTGAGAGGTTCATACTCTTCATCAACTGGATTTTTCGCAAGATGATCAGCCAAAGCTTGTGCTTTTATTGCCTTCTGAGTCACGTATACGATGTCAAACTCACTCAACAGCATTTGCCATTTAGCCAGCTTCCCGGTCGGCATCGCTTTCTGGAAAATATACTTTAACGGATCCATCCTGGAGATAAGATATGTAGTATACGACGACAGGTAGTGCCTCAGCTTCTGGGCAAGCCATGTCAGAGCACAGCATGTTCTTTCCAGCAAAGTGTAACGAGACTCGTACGGAGTAAACTTCTTGCTGATGTAGTAGATAGCCTTTTCCTTCTTCCCTGTCTCGTCGTGTTGACCAAGTACACATCCAAAGGCGTTATCCGAGACAGACAAATATAGCAACAAAGGACTCCCTTCCCGCGGAGGAACCAATACCGGTGGGTTAGACAAGTAGCTCTTGATAGCGTCGAAAGCGGTCTGGCACTCCTCAGTCCACTTAGTTGGGGCATCTTTCTTCAGCAACTTGAAGATAGGCTCACATACCACCGTCGATTGTGCTATAAACCGACTGATATAGTTTAGCCTCCCTAAGAAGCTCATCACCTCTTTTCTCGTCTTCGGCGGAGGTAACTCCTGAATTGCTTTGATCTTGGAAGGGTCGAGCTCAATACCTCTTCTACTGACTATAAACCCTAACAATTTCCCAGCTGGGACTCCAAAAGCACACTTGGCGGGATTTAGCTTCAAGTTGTACCTACGCAAACGTTCAAAGAATTTTCGCAGGTGTGTCAAATGATCCGAACTCTCGCGGGATTTAATTATGACGTCGTCCACGTACACTTCAATTTCCTTGTGAATCATGTCGTGGAAGATAGTCGTCATGGCTCTCATGTAAGTGGCACCGGCGTTTTTGAGCCCAAACGGCATCACCCTGTAGTGATATACCCCCCAAGGTGTGATGAAGGCCGTTTTCTCTGCGTCTTCTTCATCCATCAGAATCTGGTGATAACCCGCGTAACAATCCACAAATGACTGCATCTCATGTTTGGCACAGTTATCAATCAGAATATGGATATTTGGCAACGGAAAATTATCCTTTGGACTAGCCTTGTTGAGATCTCTGTAATCAACGCAAATCCTGATTTTTCCATCTTTCTTGGCGACTGGAACGACATTCGCCAACCAGGTGGGATATTGCGTTACTTCTACCAACCGGGACTCTATCTGCTTGGTGATTTCCTCCTTAATCTTCAAACTCAACTCAGGCTTGAATTTCCGAGTCTTTTGCTTCACTGGCTCGAACCCTGGGTTGATAGGCAGCTTATGAGATACGACATCGGTACTCAGCCCCTGCATGTCACTGACCTCCCAAACAAACACATCGCGGTATTCGGCAAGCAAATGAATCAGGCTCTCCTTCTGAGTTTCATTCAGGTGAGTGCTGATCTTAACCTCTTTGACACATTCTGAATCTCCCAAATTTAACGTCTCTGTTTCCTCCAGATTTGGTTTATGTTGATTCTCGAATTGTTGAAACTCTTCTGCTACATAGTCTGGTTCCCCACTTTCTTCGTCGTAGTCGTCAGCCTCGTCATCATTTGCCTTATTTTGTTCGTTTAGCTCATGACATGACATGACGTTGGCAGGTTTGTAACTTACGTTACTGAAATCATAAACAGACAAAATTTAGAAAAGTAAAATATAACAAGCAATCGAATCAACAAGGTCAAAATAAGGAGGCTTTCATTTAAATTGAATCGAGATGCAAAGTTGGGTCATGGCACAAGGCCATGTCGCCCTTTAAACAATCATAACAAAATTCAAAATCAAGAAAATGCAGAAATGGTGGGTCTCGGGCCTCTTCCGAACGACCACCGATTTTGGCATGCACAAAATAATTCCTTTCTACCCAAAAGTCCGGGACATCAAGATTGGTGTGGACGTCCAATTCTTCAGCATTTCCCCCGGTTCAGCATCGCGAAAGCCAGCTGGCTCAGCCTCCTCCTCTATGACGGCATTGATCTCCTTGAACAGGTCACAGATTCCTTCCCCGTCGTCTTCAGGCTCGGCGTGCTCCCGAACTGGAAAGGAGTGATAGAGATACGGGATCGGCTTAGTCAACTCTTGATCCCTCCTCCTCTTCATCTTTATATCATCATCTGTGGGGATGTACCCCAAACCATACTTTGATCCCTGAGCAAGGACCGGAACAGGCTCAATAATTCCTTGGGAATCTCTTCCCAATCCGAAACCTGGCTCGAACCCATTTTGCAGCATCACCGTGGCTATCATTTTGTACACGGTTGGCATGGAGTTGAGGGCCAAATCTTCGTTGGTGGCATTCACCAGCTCCACCGTGTAAAAGTCTGCGCCTTGCGGCATCTCATCAATGACCGACACCTGCTTGCCCGAGCGACTTCCCTCGCCGTGAATCACTAACTCTTCATTTTTCCACACAAGTTTCATCATCTGATGGAGAGTAGAGGGGACGGCTCCAGCCATGTGGATAAACGGCCTTCCCAAAAGAAGGTTGTAGCTAGTGTCTATGTCCAATACTTGGAATTGCGCACTGAACTCTGCGGGGCCCATTTGAAGGGTCAAAGTCACAGCCCCTAAGGTGTCTCTTTGCACACCATCAAATGCCCTTACATTGACCTGATTCTGCTCCAGCTTCCCAAGGTCAAAATTTAGTTGCCTCAACGTCGTCAATGGGCAAATATTCAAACCGGACCCATCATCTACCAAAACACAGTTGACAACCTTTCCACGACATATCACGGTAATGTGTAGCGCTTTGTTGTGGGATCTTCCTTCGACTGGCAACTCATCGTCACAAAAGCTGATCCGGTGCCCCCGAATGACTTGATGAATCATAGCGGCCACGTTATCACTACTTGTACCTGAGGGTACGTATGTATCATCAAGAGCTTTCATTAAGGCCTGCCTGTGGGACTGAGAGCTCATCAGCAGGGCCCACACGGAGATCTGAGCCGGAGTCTTCTCTAAATGTTTGACGATGGAATAGTCCTTAGGTTGCATCCTTCTCCAGAATTCCTCTGCTTCCCCCTCGCTTATCGGCCTCTTAGCATGGTCCTTCTTCTGTCCTCCGAGAGCAAGCTCATCAGGAGTGTAGCACCTTCCGGACCTGGTCATGCCTTGGGCCACGGCGGTTTCAATGACAAATTTGGGCTTAACGAGAGTTTTCGAAGGCGCCAAGGCAACAGCCTTTGCAGGTGTCAGAATAACAAACTTCCTCCTTTCTTTGACGCTTAAAGAAGCGACAGCCCTTTCCAAGTCCTCATGCACAATAGGGGTAATCATCTTTGTTCCACACCCGTCTTCATCCGTTTCAATCATATTAAGGTTGTCACCTCCATGATTCGGCAACGGATTTGTGTTGACGTTTGGCACTGCCGGTTGCAGAGAAACTACCTCCTGATCGATCAGGTCTTGGATTTTGTGCTTGAGGTTGATGCAATCTTCCGTGTCATGTCCAACACTGTTGGAATGATAAGCACACCTTTGATCTGGCCTGTAGAACTTCGAGTTAACATCCCCGGGTTTGGGCCCCACAGGGTGGATGTATCCATCTGCGGCTAGCCTCTCAAATAGTTTGGTCCGGCTTTCAGCAAGTGTGGTAAAGTTCCTTGAAGGCCTTTTTTCAAATCTCGGATGGGAAGTATCATAACCACTTTGCCGAGGGGGAGGCACCCGCTGATAATTTTGGGTATTTGTACGAGGAGCTTGGCTCCGGGGATAAGGGTTTGCCTGGAAATTTGGCATTGGAGCTTGGTAATTCGGGAGGGGGTCCTGATATAATGGAGCTCGGACTTGATAAGTGGGCGGAGGTGGTCGGTAGCTCGACTGTACGTTGGCACAGTTGGGAGCAATGTTCTGATAAGGGGATGGGATCTGGTATGGTTGAGGGTAATTTGGGAATATGGGAGAAAAATTTTGGAGATTAGAGGGTGTACCTTGGTACGACGAAATTTGAGCATTCTGATAGGTGGGGACAGTATTGTGGCTATTAGGATGATCGGGTTGTGGGTAGTTGGATCGGTGGGACTTTGGGGAAGGCCTGAAACGATCTTGGGAATGTGACGGGTTTCTAGGGGTTTTTCTTCCCCCATACGAGACAGCGGCAACTTCTTCTCTTCTCTTCCTTATCAATCCTGAAGACCCAGGCGACGCAGATACACGGGCTATCTTCCCCGATTTTAGACCATCTTCGATAGTCTCACCAACTTTGACTATCTCAGCGAATTTAGCTCCGACCAGCAACATGATTCGATCATAGTACTCAGGCTCCTGTACCCGCACGAACACTTCCACAATCTCTTTCTCGGTCATGGGTGGCCTTACCCTCGCCGCTTCTTTCCTCCACCTATAGGCAAATTCCCTATAGCTTTCAGTTGGTTTCTGCTTCATCTTCTCTAGAGAATACCGATCGGGCACTATTTCAACATTGTAGGCGAATCGGTCAATGAAGTCCTTAGCCAATGCATTCCAACTGGGCCACTGCCTGGTTTCATGTGAAGTAAACCACTCGAGGGCCTCTCCACACAGACTTCGGCTGAAAAGCCGCATCAACAAGGCCTCATCCCTGCCAACTCCCACGAGCTGGTCACAATACGCTCTCAAATGCGCCATAGGATTGCCTGCTCCTCCGAAGGTGTCAAACTTCGGAATTTTAAAACCTTCGGGAAGGTTCAAATCTGGATGGATGCACAATTCTGCGTAGCTAAGTCCGACGGTGTCTGGGATGCACTGCAGCTCTTTCATAGCCCTTTTGATTTCTTCCTTTATATCGATCTTCACTTCTTCTTTCGCCTTCCATTCTCTTTCCTGTTCTTCATAGTGATCCAACTCAGAACCGTGCAGCTCGTGCTCGGCAGGAACGGGAACTTGGAAGGTGGCTCTTTTGGGGAGGGGTGGAGCTATAAAGGGACTTGGAACGTTTTGGGCGGTCTGGTAGTTTTGTGGGTAGGCCTGAGGATTGGTGTTCTGACTCAAATGCGGATGAAATGCTTGGGTATTGAAGGCAGTTTGAGTTTGGTTTTGATTTTGTGGCGGTGGGGCAGTTTGAGTATTCTGAGGATGGGGTGGTATTTGAGGGTGGTTAATTGGAAGAGGTGAAGGAGTTTGGTAAGATGCAGAAGCGTATTGGGGGTTTTGGGTTGTTAGGTCTATCACAGATGGATTATGCACAGGTGTAGAAGGCTGGTTCTGAGTTGGATCTATGTTTGATGAAGGGAAGTAGACCGGAGGTCTTGCATCAGCAATATTAGTACCAAATCCAGGTGGAGGCGCATCCTGTCTCCGTTGTATTTCAACTTTCATTTCAGCAATCTGTTGCATCAGCTGCATGATCAATTCGTTTTGATCTGCCGCGGTGGGTTGAGCCACCACAAAATCTGTAAGGCTGACTTCCTCATCGTTGTCTCCCATGGCTGTATTTGCGTTTGGTCCGGGGCAGGAATCTGCGGGACCCTTTGATCTGGTGAAGTAGTGGTGATCTGCTAGCTTTATCGACACAGATCAGTAAGATGTACCTGAAAGGCAAAATAACTCAAATGCAGATTTGTTAGTGCATATCCGGAGTACAAAATGCATAATATCGCACATAAAACAGATAAACACACAAGTCGCTTTGTTTGAGGATATCTTAACCCACGAATGAGGACGGAAATATATTTTGAACAAACAGGAATTTGTTTGTTTTGACGTCATCTCGGGAAAGCTGAATCACGTTGAGCTATGTTCTTCTTGCAGCTGCCTTTCGACGTCCGTTGATCTTATCTTCATATCTTCAAAACATGGAGAAGAATGAAAATTTTCTGTGATAGGGGCCGGGCCGGGAAGGCTGCCTACGTATCTCACGGGGAGAATTCAGGCCCAACGTAGTTCGGATTTTAGGATGAAAATTTTCCATTCATTCTTTCGTTGTGATTACAAGGGAATTGAAAAACAACATTGAGATTTCTAGAAGACCACATTCGGAGATTTCTTGTCTTGTGGCTGCGTCATTCCTTTCCTTTCAGACAGTCGGAAATGGAGGCTTGTAGACGATTTCTTCCTCATCATCCTCCTCAGTCACTTCACGGTCGGGGCCACTGTTATCTGCTCCCAGATCATGGGCGAGGTATTTTCCGCCCTTTGGGTCGCTATGGGTCGCCGATTCCTCGTCGAGTGCCGCACTTCTGGCCAACGCTACGGCAGTTTCAATATCTATCTTCGCCTTTCTCGCCTTTCCTTCGTGTATCTCCAAACGAAGCAAGTTCAACCTTTTCCTTAGGCTTTCGGTTTCCGTCTCAACCTCCTTCTTTCTTCTTATCTGCGACGCCAGATCTTCATCCAAAGTCGTGACCGCAGCTTTGTAGATTGTCGTGGTCATGTCTACCTTAAGCCCTTTCTCTTTAATCTTCTGAATTTCTCGAGTGACTCGCTCGATTTTTCTTCGCACTTCCTCCTCAATGAGCTCCGTCTGGACGTTCTTGCCTTTGTCCATAGCGGTGATTCAACTTTCCTGAGATGATAGAGCGGTACTTAGGATTTATGGTATGGATTTTGTGTGAGAAACTTGAGACTCGGGATTTTTGGTCGGACAATTGTAATGTTGGCTTCTGTATACTCTTTAGAATTTTGGCTAGGAGTGGGTTTACGATATCCTCAATCAAAGCAACATAACACATAAACATTTAAACAAATATATTGTGTCCTAAACATGCATGTGACCCTTTTGTGCCAAGGGTAGGCCTAGCGATCTGAAGGATGTATTGCGCCATTTAAATAAGTAATTGTACCCCCGAAACAAATTTCACTAGATGTCATAGCGTTCATTACACAATCAAAATTAAACGGGATATATCTTGGGAAGGGGATGTAGTGCAAATACACATATAAAATCAATCCCACACCAGGGGAGTTAAAAGGTCGATGATCCAGCTCCTCTTCTGGCCTTCTCCACTTCTTCTCGGATAATGCATTTGCTGGTGAACACGTATGGCTCAGCGAACGCAGCTTTGGAAGATGTTGGTACTCCTTGTGTCAGCTAATTCTTGTGACATTACGGCTAAAACTCTCTGATTTTCTAATTCCCGGAGTTGGTACGCTTGCTCCCTTTGTTGAAATTCCTGTTCTTTCTTATAGAATTCCTGCTCCCTCCGGTCCCACTCTTGCTGAAAATGGTACGCGTGAATCTGAAGCCTTGTCTCCACGTCTTCGATTTTCCGACTCGTGCGTGGTGTCGGATCCACTACACCATGCAAATTATTATGCAACCATGTCTTATATTCGTCGACATACCCAGCTCCATACCTATCTTCGGTGACCTCCCACTTCATGTTGACACGTCCGGCCCATTCCTGGAGGATAATTTTAGCGAAAGGTATTTTGTCCTTCCCGTTGTAATCAACAATGAAAGAGCTGGCATCTCCTTGGGCGGGTATGATTTGGACTTTCCCAAATTGCCGCATTACTCGTGTCGGGTTGTAAAGACGCAATCCTCTGATGCCGGGAAGGACTAAAAATGGCAATTTGGCCCCTTGGGCTGCTATCATCTGAGACCTGAAGCTCGGTAATACCCATTGTATGTCTCCTTCTTTCAAATTGTAAAACACCTTTGCCCACGCATCCCTGGTGATGTGAATTGGAAATTTACGGATACTCAAGTAGAACTCGTAATTATTGAGAGGACTTATTTGACTTGGTTCGGCCAAACCATGTAGCTGGGGGTTGTCTCTTTTGCATAGATGCTCCGTCAACCACCATTGAAGTAAGATGTTGCAACCTTGGAAAAACGGAAAACCATTCTTGCACAGGCTCAAAGATCGGTAAATGTCGGACAGGATGACTGGGGCCAAACAGCAATATTTCTTTTCTTCAGATTTTCTACCGACTCCTCTGAACATGGCATTCACTACCATTATTACCCGGGTGTCGATCTCTTTACCTTCGTCTTTAGGGAACACCATAGTTCCCAAGAGGCATGCGGAGAAAGCGATAGCTTGCGTTTGCCTCCAAGTACTGTGATCATGAAATTCATCTGGGAACAATCTAAAATAATTGTCGTGCCCCCACCTCTCGAAAAACCTCATCAGTGGAATGTTGTGAGTCTCTAGCCAATTCGCATTCACTAGGGATAATATGTCTCTTAGCTCAGTCTCGGTTGGCCTATCTGGCAGGAGAATGTGATGATCGGGACGCTTTTTCCTTTTGCCACACGTCCCAATCGAGTCAAGGCAATCTTTGATCTCTTCTAATGAGGGTGTTATTTCGACATCTCCAAATCGAAAGACCATCTTCTTATCGTCCCAGAATCGGGTGATGACTTCGATAAACGTGGGCCATACCTTGAAGTCCATTATCGAAGGTAGGTGACCCAAGTAAATCGAGATCTCTCTCTTCTGACACTCCTTAAGATTTCCCCACCATACTCGAAGAATGTCGGGTGCCTGGGTGACCATTTTGAAGTGAAGGAACTGACTTGACATCTACAAAAACATACAACTAGTTAATTTTCAATTCCCCCGATACAACAACTCGTTAAACACGCAATACATCCTTCAAATTTAAACAACAAACATGAGCGTCCTATCGAGCCGCAGGCTCTTTGGACTCAAGGTGGACTTTTCTAATGGGCCCGACACTCCTTGGGTGTCGGGTCATCTTAGGCCAATGCGCTATTTTCGGGATTTGGTTTCGCTCTATCCTAGTTTGACTAAGAGTGGGTTGTATTTAGAGTGGAATGGGTAACCCAAGCGGACTACTTGGGCTGGGACAATTAACGATCGTTGACTATCAAGTAATCAACTACACTCGTCAGGGTGCCCCGAGAAGATTTTTGGTTAACGAACGACTACGAACCCGCATAATCGTCCTTTAGTGGAAATGTAAAAAAAGTGTCGTTTGACGGAAGTATGTATGCTATGTATGCAGCAGTTTAAAAATCTAAACAATTAAACATTTAAACAGTTAATCACAAATAATCAAATCGTTAATCTTAAGGTTAGAATCCTCCAAGTGCCCCAGCGGAGTCGCCATTTCTGTTTTATCGAAAAAAGGGTGGTGATTTTCGAAAAGAGTTTGTTTTTAGACTTTTAGGAGTCGCCACTTAATTTTTAAGAAAAATCAAGAAAACTTCATTTCTAAACAACTTAAACAGAAAAATTGTTTTGAAACATTTTAAGGGTTCGGGATTCCTATTAGTATCTTAGGAAGGTGTAAGGCACCTAAAACACTCCGTTAACTTACGGTTTTCCGGCGATTAACTTATTTGACTATTTATTTAAAGACTTGCGAATTTTGAACTACTTAAGATATCTAGGCGAACTTTATAAGTTTGAAACATATATTGTTTTAAGATTCCGTTAACATTAAAACTTTTCGAACTTTAATTCTAAGTGACTTTCAAATTCGAACGCCTTTAAAGTTTCAATTTTTTAGTTTCGAGTTTGATAAAGCAAAAGGCGTTTGATGGGGTTTGGATTCTTCTAATCCTAAGCTAACGACATTTAAAACAAAAAACGTCAACAAATAGCAAAGAGAGATAGAGAGAGAGAGGGAGAGAGAGAGATGTGGGTCCAAACTCGGGTTCTGTTCGCCTTGACCGAGTTTTGGACCCACCTGTTTTTGGGTTTTTTAACCCATTTTCCACCTGTCCTAATCTAAACATACGAATATACAACACGAAAGAAAAAAAAAACAACAAGGGTTTATGCCCGAAAATACAAATTTTAAAATAAACTTTAGGCTCTCTATGGCCCACAACTTCAACTCCTTGGTTTGCTTCAAATTCTTTTAACTCGGGATCTGTTCGTCAACTTCATGGCTCGACTCTGGGACAGCGATATGAATAGAGGCTCAACAAGAGAGCGCGAATAGAGGAAATGGGGTGCGTGGGGACCCGATCCGAGTTCATGTATAGAAAGAAAGGACAGAACAATAAGAGATTAGTATCGGTCCATGTTTGAAACTATGTCATGCAATCAAAACAAAGCAAAATGGAAATAGAAACTAAACAAATAAACAAAGTGAGGCAAAGGCGCACGATTAGTTCGCTGCTATAAAGTTGTACAAAAATGACAAGGAACATAATAGTTAACACTTATGATTAAGCTTTGCAGGTTATAACAACTCCAAAATGGAAACTAGATGCACCAATTAGACCAGTAAAGCAATTCACAATTGGTGGCTGGAAAACATTTATTGCCTAAGCTAAATCAACATAATATAGCTCAACGGTGAAAAGAGTTTGCCCCGAAGGCGGACTACTGAATGTTATACACATTCTATTAAGTTAGCACTTAAACGCTACTCCACTCTTCGTAAGATAAATTCAAAACTAGCCAAGTCAGACTCAAAACAAGAAGCAACTCATGACCAGCGTGCGTAATAACACGAAATCATAATGTTTAATACGTTTTGAAATCGAGCAGCCAGCATATGTG